ATTTAAGCTTATTTTTTATTTGTTTGTTTGTTTAGCATTTCATTTTATGCATACTGTCTATGATTTCTTCTGTTAATTCCATCAGTGCCACTGAAGTTGATCTGTTTTCTCTGAAACCATATTGACAGTCTGTTRTGCTTTTCAATAAAATTATCWAACCYTTTACTGAACACTTTTTCTAATATTTTAGAAAACTGACAAAGTAGGGAGACAGGCCTAAAATTGTTAAAAGTATGCTTGTCGCCAGATTTGAATAGAGGAATAACCTTTGCAATTTTCATTGTATTTGGAAATGCTGCAGTTCTGAATGACGAGTTGCAGATGTATGTCAGCAGGTCTGCAGCATCATCATTTATCTTYTTAATAAGTGACATGTTAAATCCATTCCAATCCATTGATTATTGTTGTTCTTACATTGGTTAACTATTTCAATAATTTCTTTTTTGTCTACAGGTTTCAAGTACATTGAGGATGTATTTCTTATTATATAATTTTCCCAAATGTCCCCATCCTGTGGGTTTGAGTCATTTATTTGTGCTGCTAATTTAGGCCCCACATTTACAAAATATTCATTAAATCTATTCACTATCCCAGCCATTTTGTTAGGGTTTTCTCATTATAAATAAAACATTCAGAGTAGTTTTGGAAGATTTTTTTCTTATCAAGCTATATAATGTTTTCCATATTCCTTAAGTGTTTTGATTACTATTTTCTAATAATATAGAATAATATTCCTTCTTACATTTTCTCATAATAAGTTGTTTTTTTCATAGATTTAATTTTTTTGCTCTACCTCAAAAGTCCTATATTGTATAAATTGTTTATATAGATTATTCATTTTCTTACATGCATTTTGTAATCTTTTAGTAATCCATGGCTTATCTTTATGTTTTTGCCTGTAATTAAATAGGACAATAGGACAGTTTTCATTGCATAGTGCTTTAAATATTTTGAGAACTAGCTCAAAAGTTTTATCAATATTTTCTTCATACAGAACTTTCCAGTTCTGTGACTATAATTTTCTAAACACACTTATTAGCTTTTTTATGTCTTTTTAATGTCTTTTATTAATGTTTTTTTTCCTCTCTGTTCTCAGTTAGATCTTCAGTGGGTGCAGGTTTTAGCCGAAGGCTGGGCCAGTCCTCTAAAGGGCTTCATGAGAGAAAAAGAGTTCCTCCAGGTCCTGCACTTTGGCAACCTGCTGGATGGTGAGAAACAAGCTTAACTATTTTAAATACTGATTTTTTTTTTTAGTTTTCTGAGTATTTGTTTGCATTGTAACTGTCAAATTTGCTTCCACATGCTTGCTCTGTTTTGATCTTCTTACACTGCTTTTTAGCTACCATTCTGCTACTTTTAGCCTTTAGGTAGCCTTTTGCTACTTTAGGTTTAATCTATTGTTCTGCTTCTTTTAGCACTGACAGCTCAGTTTCAGCTTTGTTAAAGTCAGTGCTGCCTTTTCGCAGAAAATGTTTCTTGTTATTCTTAAATATCTGCCAGGAATAGATGTTTTCACAAACCCACTCCAGTGAACCCACTTTAGCCTATGAAATTGGATTGTTTTCTTTTTTTGCTAAGTGGTTTTATTTTTCCATGTCAGGCGGGGCCATCAACATGTCCATTCCCATTGTGCTGCCTGTGAGCACTGAGGTGAAGCAGGAGCTGGACGGCAGCGYAGCTGTAGCTCTGGAGTATCAGGGTTCACGAGTGGCTATTCTCAGGAAACCCGAGTTCTACCCTCATCGGAAAGAGGAACGCTGTGCCAGACAGTGGGGCACCACCTGCCCTCAGCACCCATATATAAAGGTGCTGGATTAAAAGTACATTATCATGAAAAAAAAACAACAACTGTATGACATCTCAATAMATGAAATCATCAAATGACCGTTTTTTTCCCCCCTTATGTTTTGTAGATGGTTATGGAGGGAGGTGATTGGCTGGTTGGTGGTGACCTGGAGGTGCTGGAGCGAATCAAATGGAATGATGGATTGGACCAGTACCGCCTCACTCCTAAAGAGCTGAAGCAGAAGTTCAAAGACATGGGAGCAGGTGAGAAATAAGTGGAAGAAACAGAATGGCACTTTTTAATGACAAGTAACAAATATAGTCCCATGACTCGGAAAGGAAAGAACTGGGTAAAGGTAACACATGAATGATAAATATGTTGTTGAACTGCATACTGTCCTATAAGTTTATCTTTTTTCATTGTTTCTTATCGCTTCAGTAAATGGTGTTACTTTTTAAAAACATTCATTGACTGACAGTCTTTGGTTTGGCTTAGAAACCATTTTTAAAGTGTCATTTATATAAGGAGCAGTTATTTTAAATGATCTAAATGATATGTCTAAATCAGAAATGACATAAAAAAGCAGATCATGATTATTTCAGATGTCAATAAGGTAGTCGTTTCAGTAACAAGTGATGTAATTTTTATTTATTAATATGTTATTTACTGTAGCCCAAATGGCAAAACATATTGTGAACACATCTGTATAATTGACTTTGTCTTTCAGGAAAACAAAAGAACAAAAATGAAATAAAAACTTGACAAAGGAGCAGATCAAAAGATTTCTATGGTAACTGTAGATGCATGAAGGTTTTGTTTTCGTATGTTGGAAGTTTTTCACTCAAATACCCATTCACATTGCATCTGTACTCAAAATATTTTATTTAATATTATTTTACGAAGAATCAGTGTGTATTTTGACAACATCCTGATGTGTTTTATTAGTAACGCTCACGTTCGCTTGGATTGTCCTGCGAGTTTCCTCTAGTTTCTGTCACCCCCACCAAAACACCACAACCTGATTTATCCAAACCTTTGCTCAACCCTAACCCTTTTTAAATATTTTATACACATATTATTATTGACAAATCATGTTTTTTTTTTTAATAAAATAGAGTAGTTGCTGTGTTTGAAACGAGTCAGAGGAAATCACTTCGTCTTGAGAGCAAATGTTTGCTCTGGCTGTTTGCTTTACAGAGATGGCAGTAAAGCTTTGTGATATAAAGCAATCATTTGCACCCATTAATCTCGTTTGGATTAGCGGATTGTTTGCTGTTGTGTTTTCAAAGGATTAGTTGGCAGTTAAATAAATCTACACTAACGCCAAGAAGTTGTGGTGTCACGTTTCTAATCAAACGCTCTGTGAGTTTAAAGTGCATGATGTGCCTGTTGGCTAACAGCTCGTTCCTCAGCTTCGGAGCTGTGATAAGACCCACTAAGACCGACTACCACTGATAACTGAACTTTGTGCTTCTCCTTAGACGCGGTGTTCGCCTTCCAGCTGCGTAACCCGGTCCACAACGGCCATGCCCTGCTCATGCAGGACACCAAGCGGCGTCTGCTGGATCGAGGATACCAGAACCCCGTCCTCCTCCTCCACCCGCTCGGCGGCTGGACCAAAGATGACGACGTGCCCCTGCAGTGGAGGATGAGGCAGCACGCCGCCGTCCTGGAGGAGGGCGTCCTGGACCCGGCCAGCACCATCGTTGCCATCTTTCCCTCGCCCATGACGTACGCCGGTCCAACGGAGGTAATGGGCCGCTCAGAGGACGCCATCGGGCGGGAGAAAACCAACCGCGCGTGACTGAAAATCCACTTTGTCCTCCAGGTGCAGTGGCACTGCAGAGCGAGAATGGTCGCCGGATCAAACTTTTACATCGTCGGCCGCGACCCGGCAGGCATGCCTCATCCTGAAACCAAGCAGGACTTGTACGATCCCACCCACGGAGGGAAAGTTCTCACCATGGCCCCGGGTCTCACCTCAGTGGAGATCATTCCCTTCAGGGTCGCTGCCTACAACAAAACTAAGAAAGCGATGGACTTCTACAGCCCAGAGCGGTGAGTGAATTAAAAAAAAAAGAGTCAGTTGTTTATTTATTTATGAGCTAATCATCCCTAACTTCRTCTTTTTCCATTACATGCCGTGAAATTCTTCTCTCCCTCAGCCAAGCTGAGTTTGAGTTCATCTCTGGAACCAARATGAGGAACTTGGCTCGGAGCGGAGAGAACCCTCCCGAAGGGTTCATGGCCCCAAAGGCCTGGAAAGTCCTGGTCGAGTACTACTCCTCCCTTCAGAAGAACAACTAATCAACAGCSTTCGACAGCTTACTGTGAAACGATAAAAGCTTTTTTTAAAGGGGATAGATTTTATACATGCTTTACTTCTGGAGTACTGTAGGTGGGACTGACTGGTTCTTAAAAACAAAAGTAGATGAGTCACTCGGGTTTCAGTGGGTCAGCGTGGGGCGGGTCTCGTGTTGGATTCAAAGGAAACAGTTTTAAAGAAGAAAAAGCTTTTTTACATTTATATAAAATGATAATTTTATAAATCCTTTATCTTTTTAATGACATATTAACTTAAGCTTTGTATTTTATTAAATTAAAGGTAACTTGATACACTTATTTTTTTTAACGTATGTTTTACAAGTTTAGGAGCACATTCCAAGAGAAGGAAATCACTTTTGATATTAACACTTGGACAAACACTAGTGTATGTCAGATTTACAGCAATTAAACAAATATATTATTGTACGTCAAGTTATGTGTATAACCTGTCACATCATAGTTTTGCACAGCAAACGGTGCCYGTTTCCGATTAATGCCTGGTTTTATATGTGAAAGTGCCTTTCTCTGTGACATGTCATCCTGAAACTGAATTCCTTTCTGGTGTTTGACTGAAATGTCTGAGATTTGTTTGATGTCATGAAGTGGGCCGGTGTATTCATGCAATGCAGTTAGAGAGATGAAATGCAGTAATAAAAAGAAACTGTCTGCTGCTGTGAATCATTGTGGGGAACTGTTTGAATCATAAACGACACACTCCGGTTTTTGATTCGCCTGTGTGCTACTGGTTGTGCAACRTTGGTTTTTATTAAAGTTTGCTCAAAGTACATACTGCTGCAGTTCGAATAAAGGTCGAATGAAATGTGTGGCAACTGAAGGTTGTAGAGTCAAAAAGCACAATGCTCCCATCTGGTGGTACACTCTGGTATTTAAGAAATTAAAAGAAGCTACAAAATAAAGGCCCTGTCGGTAGAGTTTGTGATAAAATTTTAAATTATATTTGTACTGATCAAAATAGTTTTAATCCCTAATGCAATTGTTTTGTTGCTTGATAACTCTAAACAGTCAGAATTTGTTGGTGAATGCAGCATTAGACATGTATTTCACTTCCCCTATTAGATCTATAATAAGCAATTTTGGAAAATTTGGCTTAAAAGTACAATTCAGATGACTGAGGAAACTTAGGAATGCTGAATAATGTTCCCGTCCATTCAGCCGTCTGGCAATCTCATTGCTACGAGACGACTGTCCCTCCATCAGAAGACCCAGCCTCTCCTAATTACTAACATAGGATCAGATCATTTAATCTGCAATGTTCCAGGTAACCCTTTTTACCTGTTCTAGGTAGTCTGATGAACTCTGCCCTCACAGAGTTTCAGAGTACGATCTCCATTGTGTAATGTGATTCTTTTATATCTCCTGGCACACACACACATCAGCACGGTGGCTCACTTGGTAGAACTGTTGCCTCCCAGAGAGAAGGTTGCTGGATTTAATCCTGGCCGGGGACCTTTCTGGGTACAGTTTGCATGATCTCTCCATGCATGGGTGGGTTTTCTCTAGGTACTCCGGTTTCCTCCCACAGGTCAAAAACATGAATGTTACGCTTAGTGTGAGTGAGAATGAATGTTTTTGTCTATGTGGCCCTGATGGACTTGAAACCTGTCCAGAGTGTACCCCACCCCTTGCTCATTGACTGCTGACCCTGAAAGAAAGAAGTGGGTAAAAGATGATGGATGGATGGATGGATGGATGGATGTGGATGGATGGATGGATGGATGGATGGATGGATGGATGGATGGATGGATGGATGGATGGATGGATGGATGGGACACACATAGCAGAGGTTTAAGCACACACCTGGTTACAGACCAGTGGTGCCTCCAGAAATATTCTAATGGGGTGACCAAGTTGGGGTCACTAAAAATCTTTGGGTGGGACACCAAAAGCAAAAGCCAGAACAGGACTTCAGGAGATTTGTTTTATATATATA